CACTTATATTCCCTCGGCATTTTTGACAGCTCTGTCATAAATCAAATAGTGATAATAAGTAAAATAGGCGTCACATTATGCTGGAACTATTGCAACGAATTGGATGATATCGTCTTTCCGCCAACGCTGTGTGTCAAACGTTATACCTATAATAATAATAATATATACGTTACTTGTACGCTAACATTAACAGCATTCTAACCAAACAAGAGGAGCAATTTTTGATTTCCGATTAATCTTTAGTTATGTACATGGTATTATATGATATCATCTAGTTTTTAATTTTTTTTAATTTTTTTTTATTTTTTCATTAGTTTTTATCACGAAATACCTATAATAGTTATTCGTATATTTTATGAAGTTTTTATTGCACAAGACAAATAAAATTTACAATAAAATACTGTATTGATGAAATATTTACTTGCGTTAATAATAATAATAATAATAATAATTTTTTAAATCCCAAAATCTTTTGTGAATATAACTTGTTCACTTTTCTAAATTGTTTGTAAATTGATGTGTGATAGAAGCACCTGTTCCAACTAACTTTACAACTCGAGAAAGGATGGTATATGTTATACCACGAACATGGTCCATACAGCAAGGTATATACCAATCTATGGTATATAATGACAATAATTGGGAGTCACCAACAGCATTATTTTTTTTACGCAATCATAATAATAATAACAAAAACAATAGATATAATGATAACATTTCAGTGTGCGAAAAAAGGAAAACACAACACGTCGGGAGTTCGATGGCTGCTCACACGCACCGGAAAAAATTTGGCGTAATGTCGTTTTGATGGGATGAACGTGTAGCAACGTTTTATTGTCTTGTAAACAGGGTCACGCCTGTGGAGGCAGTAGTGTTAATGTGGCATTCGTCGTATACATGTAATAAAAAAGAAGAGAATTTTGGGTGTTGGCGGCGGTTGAAAAAAACATATCGTTTCGAATTCAATAAGATAAAAGGCGAAAAACGTGTTGATAATATACGCGTGTGCGTAAAATATTGAGTATCATATTATGAAAATTGTAAAACTACCACCACCCCTCCAGTGTGTAACAAACACGCGAATAAAGATAATATTTTTTGGTTATAAAAAAAAAAGTTCACAGCGCCGTTTTTGTGTGCCATAAATTTCCGATGTTTTTTTTTAAAGCTTACGATGTACATGTTGTACTCTTCCATCCCAAAATCCGGCATTGGATCTACTGCCACCACCGTCCACGTGTAGTCAATTTAATTTTCCATCGTATAAACCATCGCGGCAGAAAAACTCTTTTTTCGGTATAAACTTCTTTATGGCATTTATTTATGTTTTTTCCACATAGGATAAAAACTCATTTTCAGAAAGGTTTAATATAATTTAATAGCGTTTAATAGCGGAATTAGATGTATGGCATAATAATATATTTTACGTTATACAAATCTACCTTAGTATTGAAACATTACGAAAGACCAACGTAAGTTGTAATAATATTATTAACTGCTGATTCGCCTATATAAATAATGAACATATTTATAATTTATATTACATATTTTATAATATGGTTGTCACTAAACTATTTGATACGACATAGTACTGTAACAAAAATAGAGGTCTATAAGACGTCTAAAGTAATTTTAGTACACTCAGAAAATATCAGTATAATTTGAGAATATCATTGATAAACATCAAAAAAGTCTAGGGACTTGAACTGAGTGAAATCCAATAGCAAACCTTTTATCGTTTTTTATAACATGATTGCGAATAAGTGTTAACTAATCAAAAACATTTTATATAATTAAAATGAGCGGTTATGATAATTTTTTTCTTAAGCCACATTGCTAAATTTAGATATTATATTGTAAATTTTTCTATCTAAAAATTAGCTCCACTCACAAACCCCAATTTTAAACTATGATTTATCTATTTTAATATTTTTTAAAAGTACTTTTTGAGTATATGACAGTGATAATTATTAGCGATTGATATTGTACGTTGTTACAATACTACGCTGCAATTGTTTTCTATAATAAATTAATAGCCTATTACATAAACCCATTTTTACACCTTTTTTAATAAAAGTGTATTTATTATTGCTAAAGAAAAGAAGATCAAAATGGTATGAATGAAACACGAACGAATCACGAGCCTTTCTATATATAATATATATATCTATACTAATCCAATTTAAAATGTTTCCTATCTGCATCACCGGTGTAGTACTTATATATATATATAATGTATATACACCGAAATGGTCACCGTTCGAATTTAACATTTCGTTATAACCTGTTACTTAAAAGTTCTCAACTCAATAGTTTCTATACGCTCTAATGATTACGACTACGGACTGCCTTAATGCGATTCTTCTCGAAGTACACTTAACGAGAATTGTCGATTAAGGACACGATTTATATATTAGGTATACTATAAGAAATTTATGATGCAACCGATTTTTATAGATTTATCTTCATCGCGTTCATTACATATTTTTAGAAATTTAAAAAGGAAAAACCTAATGACAACATTATTTCCAATGTATAATATTATACGTGTATAATAATATTATCGCCATAAATAGAATAGTGCAAATTAAATGCAATTCTATAGAATCAGCATTTTTTGTTTTTTTTTTTGTTTCCATCGTAATGTTTAGTGCCTTTTATTTATGTTTGCTGCATTATGCTTATAAATATAGTATATATAATTTATTTCATGTACTATTTTACTATTATAGTATTACCGTACAAGTGCGTTCTTTATTCATTCAAAGTTTATTATAATTATGATGTTAACTGCTTCTTAACAATATATAAAACCACTCATAGTAAATATTTAATTTCACGGCAATCGATTTGGCAGGAAAATACAAAACGATTAGTCTTTTCTCGCTTTTTCTTCATTGTTTCGCTTACCTACTATAATCAGCAAGACTACCAACATATGTACATAGTGGCACCGATTCTTTTATTCGTGAAATACGATTGCTACGAGCTCTGTTTGGATGGTGCAGATTAGTATTATCAACCTACCTTGAACCTGATACCCATTAGACATTATCGATTATTTTTTTTTGTACATAGTTTTCTTTCTGTACAGTCCAAAGGTTAGTAAAATAATAATATAGATAATATAGTAGATAGTTTTACATTGAAATCGTTGTTAATATTTTTTTGTAATAATTTAATTGTTTTTTTGATAATTATATATTAACTCACTGAGATTTAGTATATTTAGAGTTATATATCTGAACTTAATTCGGGTAATATAACTTTAAATTTATTGTGTGAACAATACAATTATTTGGCATACATTATTTTAATGTTATACTCATTGTATTTCTGAAAAAAAGAGTGAAAATTTAAAGGTTTCTCGAGTTATTTAATAGAAAATTAAAAAGTTGAATCGAAAAAGGTTCAAAGAGGGTCTGCGTTAGAAACATTGTTGGCAGTGTTCTACAAATGAAATATGAATAATTACCATAAAAGATAAATTAACTTCAGCACCACTGTGTAATATGTGTACACATGTGTACGAATTTCATCGAATATTCTATAAAACTGGACTGCATCATAAATAAATCCGTATTTGACCGACATAGCAGCTATATATTTAACTACCTACCTCATATTAGTATTATTACATGATGTAAACAAATAACGACGGTGGTATTATTATATTATTATAACGGATGTTAATAATTCCACAATTTACATATTATAGCGATATGAATAATTATTATGAACTCGTTTAAGGTGTATAATTTCAATACATTTATATGGTATAGCGTAGAGGTATAGGTAATTATATTATGAATGTCCTTCAAAACAGTGCTGCAATGTTTGGGAGGTATGCTTGACAGTCAGAAAACGAAAATATCCTTAGTTTGTTAGCAGAGTTTTGTCTTTAACGAAATTAGTATAATCACCCATAAAACTCTCTTCTTTATTATAATGTTCATATAACTGCATTAAACGTATAATTTCAGTATAAAGACTTATCGCTGAACATGTGATTTGATTGTAACAAGTACAATCAAAATGTATACTCGCCATAGTTATACAGTCAGACGTTTCAACACGATGGTATTATCGATGAATAATATCCTTCTTAACAACATTCATGAGTTATAGTATATTAGTATCGTTAGAATGGATGATATTTATTTATTTATTTATTTTTTTAACGAGAAATAACGTACAAGTTTATAATAATATCACACTTGTCATTGATATTATTATAAAACTAGCAAAGTATCACAATGAAATAAACGTCAATCCAATTTCAATTTGCCAGTTCAACGAGCTGTAGTGCTCAAAATTGTATTTGCAATTTTTTGCATTTGCCAATAATGCCATAGTGTTGGGGGGGGGGGGGGGAGGGATGATCTTGTCGGTCAATAAAAATAATATAAACATACTCAACCGCCTACAATAGTCAAATATGATATACAATAGTATAATATAAATTTCAACTGTATCTGAGGAATAACTTGAAAACCGTGATACGTCGTCCTACAATATCACACGATGGTCCAACTTTTAGCATATTATACGGTCATGTTGTACAAACAACACTATGTTATCATAATATTATGCACACGTACAATAATAGTATTTTGACTATTAATTATTACGCCACACAATTTAATAATAATATAATGGAGATAGCGTCAGAAGGGGAAATATACGTCAGATACAGTAACTAGGTAATTGATATTCTAATCCAATGTGTACCTCGCAAAACATAATAATAATGGTCCACCGAGCGGTCCATCGTGATCGAAATCGATCGTGTGCGTACGTCGCTGACTGAGATTTTGTTGAGGGGTTTTCGGTATGACCGTATATACGTATATTTCTTTCTATTACATTAATAATACTTATCTACATTGTATTGAAATAGTTACAAATATATACATTATATATATATATATATATATATATATAAACATGACGATCATTATAATTACGTGTTAATGTTGTTTGTTGTGTGATGTTCACAGGAAGCCGAGAGTGCGATCGCTGCAATGAACGGTCAATGGCTGGGCAGCAGGAGCATAAGGACAAATTGGGCGACCAGAAAACCACCGACGTTAAAAACTGACTGTAAGTACACCGAAAAGCAGCTTACATATTATATTATATTCTATAACTACTGTGGTTATATTGATATTTCCACCTTCTCAAAACTTTTAAATTATATTTTTTTTGTGTCTACCCAATATTATGATATTATTTCGTACAACGTATACTATTGTTGTTTCTTTCGATCAACCACCGAAGCTGCCACCGAATTTGTTACTTGTCGGCAAAACATTCACTGCGTACATAACACCGTTGAGGGTAGAATGGGGACAAAAGTAAGGGGGTTTTCGCAAAGGGTCTTAAAGCCCCGTAGGTATCCCACGGGAGTTTCCTGCGCCAAAATATTTTGTGTGTGCACGGACCCCACTAGGGTTTGCACTTCATTATTCATATCGTAACCAATCAAACGGGTCAAGGCAGCGGCGGTCGACAGCGCAGGGATATATTTTGAGTAATTTGTTCAAACAATGTTGCCAGGATTAAACGGAAATTAAATGCACATCGGATGTTGCAGGTATATACAATATAGTATATATACATAAATAAATATAATATTATTTTATGTATAACGTGAGCTATAATAAAATATCGTAGTGTGTACTCCGAAAATAAGAACGAGATTTTTTTTTTTTATGATTATCAAATACCATTAGGTTCAATACCTAATACGAAATCTCTAGAAGTCGTGGAGTGGGAAAAATATGAACATCGCGCCATCCGGCTGTGTGGGACGCCGCCGAAGCTCTCGCGTCATCGCGTCGTCCTCTTCCGCGGGGAAAACTGATTGATTCTAGTTGACGTCCGCGCGTTGAGTAGAAACTCTACCGTCATTTATCCATGTCAAATCGTATTCCGTCTCCGCGCGCACTTCTTACCTATATCAACGGGTGAGACGAAGGAAAAAAATATGTGTCAGATATCCCAAGGCGATTCACGGCTTCCACGCTGGCGGGCTGTGTACACATAATATATAATAATATGTGAATACACTTTAGGCTACATTACTGCAGCGTATTTGTGTTGAATTTTCAAACGGCACATGAGCGCTGTCAGATCCCATTGAAATTAAATCAAACCCGTGTAAAATATTCTGTTCCGTTTTCGTTTAGACGGGCCGACTTTGATGGGAACTTTTCTTCTAGAAATTCTACGGTTTCAGCCTGATCGACGTATTTTATATTTTGTTAAAGATGATTGCACAACATAATGTCGAACTGCTTGGACCTGACTCATATTCGAACGCGTATTTATTATTATATCATAGTTTAATACATTTATATAAATGGAATTTGTATGTGTTTTTGAAACATTATCATTATGGATTGAATAATCAAGTCTGTGGAATTCATATTTTTCATATAAAATTGTTTCATACTTCAATGTATTCGTTGTGATTTAAATAAATTATCTAGACATATTAATTTAATGGTAATCGGTGTATTTAGTAGCTTTTAAAATTCGTATTATGTCAAATTGTTTAATTTACAGAAATTATCCGACCGAGGAAATTAACGATCATCGGAAAACATTTATCAAAATATATTTTGAATTCATTTATATAGTATACTTAAGGTATATTTGCTTAAAAATCAATTGAATTTGCTAATAGTAAGATATAATTTGGAAAAATATCAAGCTATATAATCTGTATTTGGTTTACAGTTAGCAATATATATGTTTATGTTCATTGTGTAATAAATTCTTTACGAGCAACTATTGAAAAAATGGTCGTTAAATCGGAAAAAAACATATTAAAATGTTATTTTGAAAAAAAAAACATCTTTAATGATTTTCCGCGTGTAATACAATATATACAAAATTGACAATATACTTTTATTCCGTTTGTTTGCATATTATACATGACGACATAAACGTTCCATCGTTGTTGTCGTCATTTTTCACCCCATCAATCTTCATGCACTCACGAATGTTGTTAGGATTAAGGGACACACTTCAAAAAATTACGATGACCCGCACGTATTACGTCTCGTTGCGTGCAATTTATATAATAATAATATATTATAACTTATAAGTATTGTTGTTATATTTTTGATCTCAGTACTCTAGTTGATGATAGGTCTAGTAGAACCAGATAGATTAACTCAAATAGCATTCCCAGAAACACTCTCTTGGAGTCACAAATAAATTTAATAACTAGTTTTTTTTTTTTTCAAACCAAAGGCAGTATAAAAAATTGATAATGAAATATGATGTGTTTTTTTTTTTTTAAATAATTCTAATTTTAGGTGATATAAAACCAAAAATTACCTCCTAATAGCATATAATAAGGCTATATTATTTTTAATAGTTAGGTACTATATTTAAAAGCAACGTACAACAGCAATGACGACTACCATACTATTATGCAGTAAGCAGTCATTACACCAAAAAGTACTTAAGTTTAAGAAAATATGTTTTTTACATTGTATAAATGAATTACAAAACTTCATCATGAAAAAAATATAGTTTTTACCATGTCTTTATCTTTTTAATTGTTTAAGTTTTTAATTTTCTGGATGACAACATACATTTTATATGCTATGCACGGAAACAGAATATAGTTTCGAAAATCTTGTTATACAAGTATAAAAATGAAATTGCGAATGAGTAATTAATTAGTAATAACTTAAAAGTATTTAAAGTTTAGAATGGAGTGGCATGAGTTTACCCTACAAAACGTTAATATTATATTTTAACTGTTTAAACTTTTAATTTGCAAAACAAATTAATTTAACTCGTTCAAAATTCAATTTTTTTACATAACAGTATTCTAAAATCTATAGTCACACAAAAAAATATAAAAATGATTTTACTATTTAATGAGATTAAATGAATTAAACACATTATTCAGTGACTGAAAATAATGAATTAATGAAGCAATGTTTTACAATATTAAAACTTATTAATTTGCTACTCTAATCTCTTTGAATCACCTGTATGGAGGTTGTTTGAGAAAAATAAAATGTGAGAAAATATTTCTGTAGCCATAAACTAAGGTAGTCCGGGAAAAAATCGGTAAAATATATTGAAGAAAACAGCTAGCTATAATATACCTCCGCCACTCATAGTGAAAATCTACAGGAAACGGTCAAAATCCGGTTAATTCTTAACCGACGGTTATCGTAATATTATAACAATAACAACGGCTTCGACGGGTCATGTATATTAATCAGTTGAAACTTGAAGAGCATTTGAATAATTAATTCAAATGGCAATGCAGACGGTTATAACGCGCGCATAATAATAATAATAATAATAATAATTATTATTATTATTATAATAAACAGGTAAACAACGGACACAACCGCGGGCGCGAGTACTGCAGTTGATACTGAAAACGGACTTTACTCGATTTTAGTAAATCTCACACACAGACACACACTTATTTATATATATAATGTTGTGTCACTACATAATTCATCTAAGTACATTTTTTTAGTATTTCATATAATTTGAATCTTTAGTTTTACATATAAAATCATAAAATATGTTTGTTATTTTACTAAAAATCAATTTGATTATCATAAACTATTGAAGATAAAGCAAAGTTAGGACTAATGAGTAATTTCTAATGCATTAGGATTACCTATATCTAAAATATCAAGTAATAATTTATTTAACATTTATTTTTATTAAAACAAAAAAAAGTATTAAACACTGTATACATAAAAATTTTCTGCGGTACAAATAAGGACCTCAAAATAATATTACACATTTTTTTAAGACATTAAATGTATTCTTTAATGAAAATTATATACATATATGCAATTATGATAAATATTTCATTAGGATTTTCATATTTTATTACATTAGATTGTATTAGCCACACGCTAAAATAAGTCAAATAAAAAATACACTCATATTGTATTAAAACGCGTTGGTGGCTGATGGAATTAAATTTGTACATCTTTTTTACTCTTTTTACCGTGCACAACGTCATTAATTCTCTTTCACGTGGAAATATATACTTGATTAAATTGTGAGTTTTAATCATTATAAAACATATTAAATGAAAAAAATGTGGTATTACAACGATTTTAATTTTAAAATTGAAGAAAGTTTTTAAACAATTAAGTTGTTATTTGGCTTTAAAAAATAAAATAATTTTTATATTTAAAAGACTTAAAAATTGCCTGTATTTTTTTCCTCCAGACTACACGGGTTTATTATTTTTGTAAACACATTTTAATTACGTAAATGCACTTGACACTTTTTTCTTAAACATAGTGTGCTAGTCACATTCGCTGCAGCTGCAGCCGTCACTGCGACACGCGCTTTTTATATTTTCCGCACGCGTAAAAGTATAAACATTATAATATTATTATAGTAAGTTTAATTCAACGTAAAAATATTTATTCTTTCACACTGATCAGAAAAAATTTAATTTATGTTATACAAACGGTGACGTTGACCTATCTATATAACACAAAATAAATTATGACCATCCGCCATCGCATACTATGATGATACACGTTCATGATAATAAATTGACATGGTTCAGCCGTGCAGGTTATGATGACATACTTTATTTTTAAACAGTGGAGTATTTTAGGATTAATTTATGGATTTTTGAGTTTATGTATGTGTAGTGTGATTTGAAGGGCTATTTATTCATAGCTCACTAAACAGTGTTCTGATTTTCTAATTTTTAGACTTAGGTAACCCATCAATGATTTTATCTACGATATGACTTTGAAATTGTTGTGACGCAATAATAGTATATGGCCAATTTATTCTATTATTTTCCAGAGGAAAATCACTTTTAAGGCTAGTTTAAATAAATAAATTACTTATTATCTATAAAAATCAACAATTTTTTGTATATAATTATACAAATGTACAATTATAGAATACCTATTTCATATTTATTCTCTCCGATGCAACATTGAACATTTGCAAGTCAATTGTAATTGTTATTTATCAGTATTCGTCACTCATTGTAAATAAAAAATTTGATATTTAAACACTAACTATTTTGAAAACGATTATTTTAAAAGCTATAGAAATATCAATCTATAAAC